CGTGTGCGCGGCCCTGCGTGCGCGCGGCGCCCAGGTGTCCCCGTGGGGCTGTGTGGGTGCCGGCCAAGCGCCTGTGCGCGTGAACTCTAATGGACACGCGTGTGCGCACCGGCCCCTAGCTGCCTGCGGCCCGCGTGTCTGTGGGTCCCTGGGTCTCAGCCCCGCGTGTTTCGGGGTGCACGCGTGTGTACATGGACCAGTGCGAGCGCGAGCACAGGTGGGGCTGGGACGCACACCCGAGGTCCCGGGGTTCGCCCCCGCCTCCGACTACCCAGACGCCCGAAGTGGGTGAGTTGGGGGCTCATCTGGCGACTGAGGGTGGGAACGCTGGCTGACCCCCTACTGAGCTTATGGGAGACTGCGTGCCAGCCTGGGAGGGGCGCGGGGTGATCCGAGAGGCTGGGTGGGCGGCTGGGGAAGCCCAGCCCGGGGCCGCAGCGTCCCCGCCCGGCCCCGCCCGGCCCTGCCCTGGGGGTCAGAAATACTTGGAATGACCTTGACTCATCCTGGTTTCCTTGCCCTGGAAAGAGGAAGAGGACGCGCCGGTGGCACCAGCGGGGCGGCCACGGTGCTGAGCAGAGACCTGAGTCTGGCGCTCTGCGCCCCCAGCCTGTAGCCACCGGCTGTCTTCCCAGCTCCTTGTTCCTTTGGGGACCATGGCTGGACGGAGCTTTCTGGACCCTTTACTGACACTTCATGGCTGTGAATCCCCTAAAGAAGCCCCCCGGGTAAAAGCCAGTTCCCCAAAGGGGCAACGAGAGCCCGCCCCGCCGGCTTGAGCTGGAGCCCTGGGCTCTGGTCTCTGACGCTTGTCTCTGCCCGCTCCCAGGTGAGTCCCCGCTTTCTCCGCGCCTGGCACCCCCCAGCCATCGCCACCAGGATGCCCACGGTGAGTCTGCCATTCGGGGGCTCTGAGATCACAGCTTCCTCCTGGGGAGGGGGGTAGTACAAGGGGGCTGCAGTTTCTGCCCGGGGAAGGGGGGTTGGCCTTTAACCGACATCCCTCCATCAGATCTGCCCCCTCCTTCTTCCTCCGCCCTCGGGGCCCCCTGCTTGCGGCGCTAATGTCACTTGTTTGGTTTTTTTTTTCCTCTTACTTTCTCGTCTGTTTCAATGTCTCCATTCCTGGCGCCTGGTCGCTGGGGCTCCGTCCCCTCGTCCCCCCTCCTCCCCCTGCGGCTCTCCGTCACGATCCCCCCAGAGGCGCTGGGCCCCGGGGACCCAGTGCATCACCAAATATGAGCACACGCGCCCCAAGCCCGGGGAGCTGGCCTTCCGCAAGGGCGACGTGGTCACCATCCTGGAGGCCTGCGAGGTGAGAGGCTGAAGGGTGTGTGCCCGTGTGCGTGTGTCCACTCAGGGTGCAGGCCGGGGAGTCTCCGCACCCTGACACCCCATCCCTTCCCTCCCTGGCAGAGCAAGAGCTGGTACCGCGCCAAGCATCACGCCAGCGGGCAGGAGGGGCTGCTGGCGGCCGGCGCCCTGCGGGAGCGCGAAGCCCTTTCGGCCGACCCCAAGCTCAGCCTCATGCCGTGAGTGGGGACCGGAAGGGTGGGGTGGAGGCCGCCCCACCCCTGCCCGTCCGCGTGCCCACCGCTGCCCCCGGGCCGCAGGTGGTTCCACGGTAAGATCTCGGGCCAGGAGGCCGTGCAGCAGCTGCAGCCGCCCGAGGATGGCCTCTTCCTGGTGCGGGAGTCCGCGCGCCACCCGGGAGACTACGTGCTGTGCGTCAGCTTCGGCCGCGACGTCATCCACTACCGCGTGCTGCACCGCGAGGGCCACCTCACCATCGATGAGGCCGTGTGCTTCTGCAACCTCATGGACATGGTCGAGGTGGGCAGACGCAGGGGTCCCCGGGGTACTGGTGGGGCTGAGCAGACCCCGGACCTCCCAGTAGAGGGGGGAGGAATTCGACAGACCCAGTACCCTCAATGCAGAGGTGGGGGATTGGACAGACCAGGGACCCCCAAGACAGAGGTGGGAGCACTGGGCGGGCCCAGGATGCCCATTCAGAAATAGGGGGACTGCCCCCCTATTTCTACTCACTGGGCAGACATGTGAAATCCAAGAGCAGGACCCCCCCCCCCAGTGCAAAGACAAAGAGACAGACACTGGCCCTCCCCCTATGGATCTTTAAAACTCCCACCCTGTGTATCTGCTGGGCAGATACTGGGCCCTCAGGACAAAGGCCCCAACCCAGAGATGGAGGGCAGGCAAACCTGGGGCCCACCAATGCAGAGGTGCCGACCATGGACCTCTGACCTCTGAGTTCACACCCCCCACTCCAGAGTGGGACCAGGAACTGGGGTGACTCCCAGAGGACCCCCAGGAATCTCGGAGTTAACAATGAGCCAGATGACACCCCCCCCTGCTCCTACATCATCCTGTTTCCATGGAAACCAGCCCATCAAGTCCCTAGGAACCAAACTGCTTTCCTCTTCCCCAGTTCCTGCCCACCCAGTCCACCAACCACCTAGGAGGGGGACATTGGGCTCCAGGGGTCCCCACCCCCTGGGCTCACGCCTGCCTTTCCATCCCCACCCCCACCCCCACTGCAGCATTACAGCAAGGAGAAGGGGGCCATTTGCACAAAGCTGGTCACCCCCAAGCGGAAGCAGGGCACCAAATCGGCGGAGGAGGAGCTGGCTAAGGGTAAGAGCTGGGCCCCTGGGAAGGGGTGGAGCCACCAGGCGGCTCCCTGCTCACAATAGCCGGGCCTGGGGGGCTGGCTCCTGAGTTCACGGCATGTGAGAGGTGCCCACCTCGGAGCCTTCTAAGGATCAGGTCCCCGGGGCATGTGTCTGCTTCTCACCTGGGCACTCACCTGTGTCAGGGGCTATGCGATGGGGCACTAAGATGAGTACTTGCTGCCCTTGGGGCTAGGCAGAGCCGTCCATTGGCACACGTGAAGCTGAGTGAAGCAATCCTTGCCTCTGTAGTTTATCCCATGTCCTGCATCACCTGAGACAGGAACCTGGGCCCAAACTTGTCTCGTTCCCCTCCTACCTCAGCCCGTTCTGTGCTGAGCCCCCATGATCCACTGGGAACTGCCCGCCATAATCCAGAGTTTTCACAAGTAGGTCTCCAGGACTTTCTTCCTAGACTCTTAGTGTGGAAGCTCTGCTGAAATCTGATCAGTCTCCTAGCAACCCACGAGCCTCCACAGACAGACGAGGGGTGGGGTGCGGGTGAGGATGGGGGTATAGCTGCGCATGAGGTGTGTGGGCTGGGAGTCACACCAAGGTGTCCCACCTGGAAGGTGAGCATCCACCTCTGGGCCACTAACGCCCATTAAGCCTGCACCCCTCTGCCCTACTCAACCCTGCCTCAGGCCTTTCCCTCCCTCCTCCTAGGGCACAAACCCCCTTCCAGCCCTCAAGGTAGCTACATGAATAGCCACCACCATCGCTCCCTGGCTTTTAAGCTCTCCTGTACCCCCTGCCCCAGCTTCTAGAGCACCCCCCCCCTCACCCTGGCCTGAGTTTCTGATCACAGATCACCTCCGACGCTTCCTCCACATCAACTAGCATCATCGTGTTACTCTTCACTCCCTCGCTTGCCTTTGTGCCTTTGCACGTGCCGTTCCCTCCACTCCAATGATTTTCCAGGCAGAGTTAAATCCTCCATGAAAATGATCTCCCCCTACACCACATCCATAAATAGCACAGTGGTTATCCGTTGGGCTGCTAACCACAAGGTTGGCCGTTCTAAACCACCAGCAGCTCCTCGGGAGAAAGATGAAGATATCCACTCCCATCAAGAGGTACAGTCTTGGAAACCCACAGGGGCAGGGCCACCCTGTCGTAGAGGGTCACGATGAGGCAGGATTGACTAGAGGACAGGAGTTTGAGTTTACCTGACCCAGGACTGGAAATGAGAAACAACACTAGACACGACAGAGCTTTGCAGGACCACTGGCTTTTTCTTGGTCAATGGGATACACAGGCATCCAATGTCTGTGGGAAGAGATGGTAGAGAAGCTCAATACCATCGGTCAGAACAAGGCCGGGGGGATAACTTGGAGCAGACCACCAATTGCTCCTGTGCAAGTTCAGGTTGAAACTGAAGAAAATTAAAACCAGTCCACTAGAGCCAAAGTACACCCTTGAGTCAAGACCATCTCGATTTAGAGAACATCTCAAGAACAACTTTGACACATGGAACATTAAAGACGGAACACGAGATGAGGTGTAGGCTGCCATCAAGGACATCATCCAAGAAGAGAGCCAGAGGTCATTAAGAAAACAAGAAGGAAATGCAAGACCAACATGGACGCTGAAACTTGAACGGAGAGCTAAACATTGGCGAAAACAAATGGCAGAGATGATGGCACGAGAGAGCTGCACAGAAAATCTCACAAGCCAAATAAAGCACTATCATGAAATATGCACAGACCTAGAGATAGAAAGCCCAAAGGGAAGAACATCCTCAGCATCTATCAGGCTGAGAGAACTGGAGAAAAAACTCAAGCCTTGAGTTGAAGTGTCGAGGGATGTTCAAGGATGCAGAAAGCCTCAAAAGACATGATGGTAGGAATACAGAGTCACTGTACAAAAAAAAAAGCTACGCTCAACCACCTCAAGAGGTCATATGGCCAAGAACCAAAAGTCTTGAAAGAAGAAGTTCAAGCTGCACTGAAGGGTTTGACTAAAAACAAAGCCTCCCGGAATGACAGACTACCAATTGAGATATTTTTAACAAACAGCCGCAAAACTGAAAGCACTGCCCATCTATGCCAAGAAATTTTGAAGACGGCTACCTGGCCAACCAACTCTGGGAGTTTATTTGTACCCATGCCAAAGAAAGGTGGCTCGGTCAAATGCAAGACCTATCAAACAATATCACTGATAGCACATGCAAGAAAACATTTGCTGAAGATCTTTTAAAAATAGTGGCAGCAGTACAGTAACAAGGAGCTGCCAGAAATTCAATCTGGATTCATCCGGGAATCGGGAATGCGAACTGTCATGGATGATGCCAGAGGATGTCTTGCAGCAGAGGATACCGGTAAGATGTTTACCTGGGGTTTGTTGACCTGTGGCTCAAACAAGTTATGGATAATAGTGTGAAGAAGGCGAATTCCCAGACATGGTCATGCAGAACTTGACCAAGAGGCAGTCGTTTAAGATCAGGAAAGGTGTGTGTGAACTGGTATGTTTTCACCATATTCATTCAATCTATATGCTGAGCAAATGATCCAGGAAGCATAGGAAAAAGAACAGGGCATCAGGATGGGAAGAAGGCTCCTTAACGACCTGTCATATGCAGATGATACAACCTGGCTTGCCAAAAGCAAACAGGATTTGAAGGTCAGAGACCACGGACTCAGTATGGGTTACCCTTCAAGGCAAGGGACAAATCTGCCTTGGAAGAAGTAAGGACAATGCTCCTTGGAATGAAGGTGGTGAGACTTGAACATGTTACCAAGAGAGCTCAGTCCTTAGAAAAAAGCACATGGTGCTTGGGGTCTTATAGCAGGTCAGGGAACAGCACGGACTCAAATGAGTGTGGGGGTGGTGTAGGGTCAGACAGCGCACCTTCCTCTTGTGCATGAGGTTGCTAAGAGTCAGAACAAATTCCATCACACCTAATTACCAAAACCTCTTCCCCCCACCTCCCCACCTAGTTATTACATCTGGCTCCTTGAGAAGAACATGCCAGGAAAATGTGGGTGCTTGATTGTACTTTAAAGGCTCTGGATTTGGGGGAGGGTTATGGAGACAGAGGAGGGGTCTGCAGAACCGACTAACAGAGGGGGGGGGAAAGGATAGAGGTGATGGGTGGAGCAGAGATGATGGCAGCACTAGAAGGTGCCAGAACTTTTATCCCATCTCTATGTGTGTGGTATTTTTGTGTTTGTGTGTGCTGAGTAGATTCGTGGCTGATCCGAAGTGGCACCATAAAAGGGAAGGGTCTGCTGATGGGGTGAGAGGAGGGACACCATGTCGCCAACCAGCAGAGGACAGAAGGGCAGTCCCACCCTTACCCCCCTAGAAAGCCCCCCAATTGTTTTCAAGTCAACCAGATCTAGGTTACCAGACTTAGAACACATTAAAAATTGGTACCAGAAGTGGTGTGTCTCAGAGAGGAGTCTGGAAGAATGGGGGAATGCAGCCACCCATGTGACCATAGCAGGGGTGCCATGGGGCATATTTCCTAGTCTCTCGGCAGGTAAAGCACCACCACCGTATGGGAGGGACCAGGGAACCAGTCTCCCCATAACAATGCCCTCTTCTCCACAGCCGGGTGGTTATTGAACCTCCAGCACTTGACCTTGGGAGCCCAGATCGGAGAGGGAGAGTTTGGAGGTGAGTGGGGGAGTGGGGTAGAGGCTGGAAGAAGAGAGGGGCATTATTCAAGCACTTTCTAGCTAGTGGCGCAGCCAAGCCTCAGTTTCTCACTCTGTAAATGGAGGCACTGACAACTGTGACGGGGAGTGAATTAGCTCCCAGGTAGATGTTAGTCCTTCTGACACACCTCCATCATCTTGCACATGATGCCCCTCTGCTTGGAATGCCAGTCCCTGGAATGGTTATTCCAGAAAGGTTCTCTGGCTTACACTAAAGACTTGTCAAACTCTTTTGTTAAAGAACCAGAGTAAGTATTTTCAGCTTTGTGGACCAGATGGTCTCTTCCGGGTTCTACTTGGCGCTACACTGGGAGGACAAAAAAACGACCACAGGCAACACGCAAATGAATGGGCGTGGCCTGATGCCAATAAAACTTTATTTATAGGTTCTGATATTTGAATGTCCTATCATTTTTGCATGCCACACAATAACATTCTTTTGTCCAGTGCGACCCTCCCCTCCTCGCTCCCCCAACACACTCCATTTAGAAATGTGAAAACCACTCAGCCCAGGAGATGTAGGAACACAGGTGGTGGGACGGATTTGACCTTGGGCAGCTGGAGTTTGCAAACTCATGGGTTCCACAGTCTCCTTGATTAGGGAGTTGTGCCTTTGGGGGCCAGGGGTTTTAAGGGCTGGGGCTGCAGCTGAGCAGGCAACACAGTATCCGTGGGGGGGGGGGGGGCGTGTCCAGCTGCCCTGTGTCTGTTGACCGCTGTCTCTGATCTCCACCCCGCGCTCACCCTCCAGCGGTGCTGCAGGGGGAGTACTTGGGACAGAAGGTGGCAGTGAAGAACATCAAGTGCGATGTGACAGCCCAAGCCTTTCTGGACGAGACAGCGGTCATGACGTGAGCCCCTGGAGTGGGGGGGAAAGGGGACGATCTGGGGCGGGGTCCTGACCAAGCTCTCACCCACGCCATCCCACCCCGCCCGCAGGAAAATGCAGCACAAGAATCTAGTGCGGCTCCTGGGGGTGATCCTGCACCAGGGGCTCTACATCGTCATGGAGCACGTGAGCAAGGTGGGGGCGGAGCCTGCAGTTCTGGGGGGTGGGGATCCCAGCGAGGGTGGAGCCTGAAGCTATGAGGGAGTGAGGATTCTGAAGGGGGCTGGGTTTGGGAAGCTGTTGGAGGTGAAGATTCTGGCAAGGGCCAGGATCCAGGGGGACGGAGCCTGCAATAGTGGGTGGCCTGGGTACCCCAGTAAGTGTGGAGCCTGAGGATTCCGGTGGGGGCGGAGCCTGAGATGCTGGTAGAGGTGGGGATTCTGTTAGGGGCGGGGCCTGAGACGCTGACAGGTGGGGATTCCGGTGGGGCGGGGCCTGAGAGGCTGGCAAAGGGGGGATTCCAGCGGGGGCGGAGTCAATGCCCGTGTGGGGTGGAGCCTGCGGTGCTGTGGGTTGAGGTTTCCCGGTGGGGCGTGTCCTGAAAGTCTCCTGAGGTTGAGGAGTTGAAGATTCCAGTGGAGACTGGTCCTGAGATGCTGGGGCATGGGCTAGGTTTTGGAGGGGTGCAGACTCGGAAGGGAACTGGACGGATGCGCCAGTGGAGATGGGGTCCCCAGCTGTTGCGAACCCCAGCCTTCCACTCCCCCTGCACAGGGCAACCTGGTGAACTTCCTGCGGACGCGTGGCCGGGCCCTTGTGAACACAGCCCAACTCCTGCAGTTTTCGCTGTGAGTGGGGTGTGCAGCGCAGGTGTGGGGAAACTGAGGCAGGGAGGGAGGAGGAGCCTAGCCGGGGTGTGTGTGTGTGGGGGGGGCACCCTCCGAGCTCCCTGCCCTCCTGCCGCCCAGGCACGTGGCCGAGGGCATGGAATACCTGGAAGGCAAGAAACTGGTGCACCGGGACCTGGCCGCGCGCAACATCCTGGTGTCCGAGGACCTGGTGGCCAAGGTCAGCGACTTCGGCCTGGCCAAGGCCGAGCGCAAGGGGCTGGACTCCAGCCGGCTGCCAGTCAAGTGGACGGCGCCTGAGGCCCTGAAACTCGGGGTGAGCCCCAACCTTCTGGGCGGGGGCGTAGGGGGGCGTGGGTGCATTATCTGACCCCTCGGAACCCCCCCAGAGGAAGTGGGGAGCACTGGGCAAGTAATTAAGCCCTATTCGTCTCCACCTGGCTACTCCCAGTGTGACCCTTTCTGGGCCTTAGTTTCCTCATCTCTTAAATAAACTCAGGGACGTCATTCTGACATCACACCCCAAAAATGATATACAAACCAACTGGCTCCATTGAGTTGATACTGACTCACAGCGCCCCTGGAGGACCGAATAGAAATTCGGACCCAGGAAGCCTCATCTTTCTCCCCCGGAGCAGCTAGTGGATTTGAGCTCTTACCTGTGGCTGGCAGCCCAATTCATACCTGGCCATGGTGCACCAAACCCAAACCAAACTCACTGCCATGGAGTCGGTGCAGACTCACAGCGCCCCTGTAGGGCCGAGTGGAACTGCCCCTGTGAGTTTCCAAGATTGTAACTCTTAATGGGCATAGAAAGCCCTGTCTTCTCCTGAGGGTGGCTTGTGGTTTTGAACTTCACCACATAGAGGGGATAAATGCCGGCCTGCTCACTGAATCTGAGCTTGGCCGGACTGTGGGCACCTGGGGGGCGGAGGGGAAGAGTCTGGGGGCAAGGCCAGAGAGGGAGAGTCTTCCCAGGGGTGTCCAGCAGAAAGGAGCTGGAGCCTGCCCCTCAGCCTGGTCTCTGTCCACAGAAATTCACCAGCAAGTCGGATGTCTGGAGTTTTGGGGTTCTGCTGTGGGAGGTTTTTTCCTATGGCCGGGCTCCGTACCCCAAGATGGTGAGCGGGCTGCTGGGTCTGGAGTGGGCCTGGGAGTCGTGGTCCTGAACCCCAACCTACACTGACAGGCTCTCTCTCTCCACAGTCATTGAAAGAAGTGTCAGAGGCTGTGGAGAAAGGATACCGCATGGAGCCCCCCGAAGGCTGCCCAGGCCCTGTCCACATCCTCATGGGCAGCTGTTGGGAAGCCGAGCCTGCCCGCCGGCCGCCCTTCCGCAAGCTGGCCGAGAAGCTGGCCCGAGAGCTGCGTAGTGCTGGTGCTCCGGCCTCTGTGGCCGGCCAGGAGGCCGATGGCTGCACCTCCCCCCGTGCCCAGGAGCCCTGACGCCACGGGTGGGGCCCTGGGCCTTAGGACCAAGAGAGTGGAGGGCACAGGAGAGCGCAGGCCAGGCCTGAGGAGGGTCGGCCTGCCCGCTGCCTGCCCAGCTCCAGGGCAGGCCTACAGGGGCTCCAGCAGCCCATGGACCCAACAGAGCCCAGGAAGGGCAAGGACTGATGCCTCGATAAAGACACTGGTTCCAAGGACAGTGGCTGTCAGTGTCTCTCTGGCCCTGGAGCCCTCTCTTGCTGAGGGCTCATGCCCCACCTCCACAGACCTGTGCTTTGGACCCACCCACCCATCCATCCATCCACCCATCCATCTACCATCCATTCATCCACCCACCCATCCATCCATCCA